TTTATAAGTGGGTTGTGGGACTGCAGGGCTTGGGGAACCTGGAGAGAAGCTCTCCAGCAACACACACTTGAAGAGCAGGAGACAATAAACCATAGGGAAGTAGCTGGAACATAAGAAGCTGGAAAAAAAAGAGAGAGAGAGAACGAGCAGGAAAGAACCAGAGCAAGCAGGAGCTGCATTCAACCTCACAGGGAAGGTGATGCTTAAGGCCACGGTCAGAAGATTCTAGCATGGACAGACGAGATGCGCCAGTGCCACGCCGGCCATGTGCAGGGCTCAAATGCAGCTGCTGTTGCCAAGCTGAGGAGAGGGACAGGAACACCAGGGCAGGCAGACCGGAAGTCAGGAGGTTCTTCGTGACTGAAGTGTTAGCACGGCTCTTGCCTTCCAGCATGAGACGCTGCTCTCCGATTCAGTCAACCCGGGTCATGCAGGCTGCTCCCCAGAAACACGCAGGCCTGGCAGCTGTTCCTGGGCTGCACTGCTCAGATGACCCACCGGTGAAGTGGACAGGGCTCTTCAGTGGGAATCCTGAGGTTATGCTCATGGACTGTCCTTCAGGACAATGGCTTCAGCTGGGCAAGTGATGCACACACCATGGGGGGGGGGCAAATGAGTTCAAGGCCAGCCTGGTCTCCATAGTAGGTTCTAGGACAGCCAGGACTACACAGAGAGATCCTTCCTTTCTCAGATAGATTAGACAGACAGACAGGCAGGCAGGCAGGCAGATGAATGATTGATAGACAGACAGATGATAGATAGATAGATAGATAGATAGATAGATAGATAGATAGATAGATAGATAGATAGATAGACAGACAGAGTTCCCATGTGCCTTAAGGATTAACTGACCCGGGTGACCTTCAATCTCCCTCCTCAAGCTTCATCTGAAGGAGAAGTCGAGCACACGCCTGGCTGTGCCCTCTGTGTGCTATTTAGTGTCTCTGTGCAGCCTGTTTGTTATAAGGTGCCATGAGGAGAGAGAACACTGGGAATGGAATATCCTCAAATAAAGCTGCCAGAGAGAGTGTGTGTGCCCCCCCCCCAAGGTGCTATTGAAGTGGCCCAGGCAGGTAGAGAATGTGCCTTGCACCAGGCTGGTAGCAGTAGAAATGGCAAAAAGAAAAAAAAAGAAAGAAAGAAAAGAAACTACATGTAATTTAAAAGAACAACGGATAAGTCTACAAGACCTTCTAATGCACAGAACGGAAAATGTGAGAGCAGAGTTAGAGATAACTGTTCAGACTTTGGGCCTGAGCAACTAAAAAGGATGAAATAAAGAGCTGAGAAGAAGCTGCGTGAGAAATGTCCCCATAGGGTCATGTTAAATTAAACCCGCGGTTGCTGGCACTGGTCGGGGAAGTTATAGAAGCTTTAGGAGGAGGAGCCTTACTGGAGGAAGTGCACCACTGGGGGCGGGCCTTGAGGGAGTTACAGCATCACCGCACTTCCTGTCCTGACTTCTTTCTGTGTGTGGATGAAATGTGATCAGCCAGCTTCGTGTTGCCATGCCAACCAAGCCTTCCCTGGAGGTAGGGACTCTCCTTCTGGAATGGTAAACCAAATTAAACCCCTCCTTCCTTAAGTTACAGTATTTCAGCACAGCCCCAGCAAAGGAACATTCACGGAGCCAGTCTGATGCCACACGCCCCGCCGTTCTGAACAGCATTTTTCCCATCTTTATTTGTACTTTCTCCTTCCTGGCACAAGACAGTCACAACAGCTCCAAGCATTGTGGGCTCACCAGACCACGTTCACAGACCAGTCAGTGCATGAATTCAAGAAAACACAGCTCCCCGAGTGCTTCCGTCTGCATCACCCGGAGACCATCACTGGCCAGGCAGTCACCCGGAGACCATCACTGGCCAGGTAAAGAAAATATAGCAGCGAGTCAGCAACACTCAATGTGTTGAGTGTTGAGGCTGAGAAGAAACCTGGGAAACACTTCCCCCCTCGGGAGCAAAGAAGAAGGCCTCATGATGCAGCCACGTCAAGGGTGTCCTACAGAGCAACCACAGGCCAGAAAAATCACAGATCACAGGAGTAAGGTGCAAAATAAGAAAGGAGTCAGACGACCAAGAAGGTGAGGTTCTATGAAATGTCCACAGTGACCAAGAAAAGGGCACCCCTAAATAGTCTGAAAGGAAAGGGGGGAAAATATAATTTCAAAGGACTGATATGACGGCCCACTGGCTTGTTCTTCCAGAGGACCCCCTTCCCAGCACCTACATACCGTCTATAACTCCAATCCTAGGGGAGCCTACACCCTTTTCTGGCCTCCACAGGCACTGCACACCTATTGTGCACACACACACATGCAGGCAAAACACCCATACACACAAAAATAAATCTTTAAAAAAAATTAATTTCAGATCAGATGATTGCAGAGGACAGCGTCTCAACATCTTCCAGAATGAAATTATTTGGGCATAGACTTTTCTATCTAAACCATCAATCAAGGAAGAAGGTAGAAAAAAATACATTTTTTCTTGAAGGTGTCCTTCAGCAAAACGAGGGTGCAAACGAATGAAGCTCGATCCGAGATACACAAGAGACGGTGGCCATGCTCCAAGAACAGAATGAGAACTAAGTCCCAGGACGGCAGCTGGGAAGCCGGAGAGACAATTCATCCTATTAAATCAGAAATTTGGTGAACTCCACGGAAGAAGAATGGCATGGATTCGATTCAAAAGACAGAATAATTAGGAGGCTGGCTTAAGGACAAAAAAAAAAAAAAAAAACCACCACGCAGCCTCTCTTCTCAATTAAGGAATAAAAAAGATGTGCACAGAAAAAAAAAAAAAAAAAAACCACCACGCAGCCTCTCTTCTCAATTAAGGAATAAAAAAGATGTGCACAGAGAACTCCAGAAGAATGCCACTGGCTGGCTGGCTAGCCAGAGTCTTTCCACATCCACTCTTATGAAGGAACTCCATTTACTTTTTCATTTTTCTTATTCGGGTATCAGTGGATAGATGTGTGCCTGCATCCTCAGACCCCCGGGGTTAAGCACTAGAGGGCTAAAGTAATGCTGGTGCTCCTGCTCCCATTCGACAGGGATGGACTGATAGGTTGCCTAGCGACCCAGCTTCCCCAACCCAATGAAAACAAGCAGGGAGGTCACCTGCAAAAACTGCCTAAAAGATGAAGGCAAAGATTTGATGGGGCAGAAGGTTGTCAGGGGCCTTCTGTGGCTATCGGTGGGTTTGAATATGGACTCCATGGATGTACCACTCATATCGAAAATATTCACTGTTCCATGAGGGTGGTGAGGTTAACTGGGGGCCTCGTTACTGACTGCATCCAAGCCTGGCTTGGTCTTGAAGAGGGTAGCCCTATTCTCCAGACTGCTAGCTCCAGCTCAGGCCTCAGAAGGAAGGAGGTTCGGGTTAAGCAACCCCTGCCTGTCATAACACTTCTCCAAAGGACCATCTTGATTCCAGTTGTCCCCTGGTGCCAGCGGATGGAGTGTGACCCCAGTCTGGGAGTCTGGCAGCCTCACCTGGGCCATCCTGTTCAGTGTAAGACATCTGGTGCCCAGAGAAGATCCCACACATCAATACTGCCCAGGATTGAATTACTGCTTCAGCTCACTTGAGGGGATCCTTTCTTGGGAGTGATAATATGATGGAATATTTAGGAGCAGAGAACTAATGGTATCTGCAAGTTTCTCCTAAAAGATTTGCTGCATTTTCTTCAGCCATAAAGAACAATGAAATCATGTCATTTGCAGGAGAGTGGATGGAGCCAGAGATTAACATATTAAACAAAACAAAACAAACCCAGAAAGAAGTGTGGTGTGTTTTCTCTCACAGGAGAATCTAGGTTTAAAAACAGATATTGAAGACATAAAAGAAGGGGGACATTGGGAAGAGAAAGGCTGTCAGTGATTCCAGGATTGAGGGGAGAAGGGGGAACATAGGGAATAAAGGTGTGTGTGTGTGTGTGTGTGTGTGTGTGTGTGTGTGTGTGTGTGTAAAGTCACAATGAAGCCCGTCAGTCTACACAACAAATATATCTCAGAAAGATTCACCAAAATTAAAACTCTAGATGTGTCTAGATGCTCAGACAAAGGGAAAGAAAGCAAAACGTTCCCATGACAAAATGCTCTGGAGGAATGGATCTAAGTGACAATCAGAATGGATGTAAGGAATATCCAGGCAGCAATTCACATCAAGACCTCACAACCTACCTTTACATTTTAAACTATTTCAAAAACATGATTCTGTTGATGTTGATGTTGTTGTAGGGGGTAGTTTTGGGGTTTGTTGTTATTGTTTTTCTTAATTTCTTTTAAATCTTTTGAAACAGGCTCTGGCCATGTAGCCTGGACTGGTCTCAAATAAGTAGCAATCCTCCTGTCTCTGTAGTGCCAAACCTACAGACACAAACTATCATATCTATGGGAAAATGTGTTTTAAAGGAAGAAGATGGGCCAGGGAGATGACTCAGTTGGTAAAGGGCTTGCTGTATGAGCATGAGCACATGAATTCAGATCCCTAGCACCCACATAAAAAGCCAAGCACTGAGTAAGCAGAGAAAGAGGGAAAGGGAGAAGAAAGAGGGAGAAAAGATGCAAAAACATATCACCTACCCTATCCGCGTGCTGTGGTGATATTTTATCTGTGCACCCCAATAAAGCTTATCCGAGGATCAGAGGAAAAAGCCAGGCAATGGTAGCACACGCCTTTAATCCTAGCATTCGGGAGGCAGAGATCCATCCAGATTTCTGTGAGTTCAAAGCCACACTGGGAACAAAGCCAGGTGTGGTGGCACACACCTTAAATTCCAACATGAGTTAACCATAAAGGTCTGAAGGTCTATACAGACAGACAGGAAGTGACAAAGCTGGGCAGGAAGAGGAAGTGATGTAGCTGGGTGGAGAGTGGAAATGAGATGGCAGAACAGAAAGGCATATAGGCGTGGGTGGACAGGAAGTAGGTCTCTTTGGAGACTGAGGGCTGGTAAGGTGAAGCTGGCTGTGGCTTTTCCTATTCCTCTGATCTCTTGGGTTTTTGTGCCAATATCTGGCTCCGGGTTTTTGTTTTTTTTTTTTTTTTTTACTAATAAGACCATTTAGCAATTCGTCTTACAGCGTGCCCTGCCTTTCCACACATAACCAAGGGAAGGATGCTTGGAGCTGCAGGAGCCACTGGCGGTAAGAGAGAAACCAGGGAATCACAAGTGATCTACAAGCCCGCAATCTGATGAAAGCAGCCCCAAACCAAAACGATGGGAGGGGAAAGATGGGACATGGTAGCAGGTATGAAAAAAACATCCATGTGACAGGACTCGGAGCCTCCTGATGACTGCAAAGGAGAGTCCCTTTGATTGGCCAGGGTGACGGTTCAGGGGGAATGGGCAGTAGTGGGGAATGGAGTTCCGATCCCCAGAACCAAGGAAAACGAAGGTGGGGACGGCAGTCTGCCAGGAACTCCAGCTCAGAAGGAGGAGGCAAGGGATCCGCAGAGCAAGCTGACTGTTTGGCTGTATCGGCAAGCTCTGGGTTTGATTGAGAGACCCTGTCTCAATGAGTAAGTTGGAAGATCAAGGATGATTTCCTACTTCAGCCTCGGGTCTTCCTACGCATGTGCACCTGTACTCACAGACGTGTGCCCACATACGCAAACATGAATATACATACATATGCACGCCATACACACACACACACACACACACACACACACACACACACACACGTGAAAACTGGAAAGAGACAGAGAGAGCCTACTTGACTGAGGCTAGACACATCTTCTGTTGTTATTGGCATGGGGTTCCAACATTGAAGAAATAGGAGGGAAATGTAAATGTAACTCACTGGTCTGAAATTAGTTCTTGTGCGGTTATTTAAACAAAAACAAGTCTGACAGGAAAGTAAAGCCCCAAAGACTTCATTAAAAGTACAGAACTGAGGAATGACTGCAGCCTTGCTGAAGGAAATTAAGGAGGGAGAAGGATTTCAATTCTCAATCCCACCATTGAGACTAGAAATCTCTAACATCCCACCAACTCATCTTTTCACAGTTTTTACTAAGAATTCTTCTGCCGTGGGATGTAATAACCATTTTAAATGTGGTTGTTTGCCTTTCATTTCCTAAGCGATCCCTTCTTTTTCTTCTTGTCTCTCTACTAAAAACAAAAAACTCATACACTATATTCTGACCATGCTTTTTCCCTCCCCCAGCCCCTCCTTACCCACCTAACTCCAAGCCCTTTCCTTCTCTCTCTTTAAAAAGCAAATAGAAATTAAAACACACACACACACACACAACCAAAAAGACACAAAATCAGAAACCAAAATATACAAGCAAAAGACCAATTTAAAAATGCCCAAACGAAGCAATATGAGTCAAAACAACAAGTCTACAAAAACACCATTGAGTTCATGTTGTCTTGGCCATCTCCAGGTAATCTCACTGGTGATATGCCAGTGAGACTCCATTGGGCGAAGACTAATTTTTCCTTTGCAAGCAGATATCATCTGTGTATAACTTCTTGCTTATAGTTAGAAGTGCAAGTCTGTGTCCACTTCTCTCTCTAGGAGCCCCCACTAGCACCCCGTCTGGCTTGAACCCATGCTGGCCCTTTATTTTCTAGACCCAAGTCCCTTATGTGTGATGCTTGCAAACATTGCTTCCCATGCAGTGAGGCATCTTTTCCCTTGGACAGCATCCTTTGCTGCACAGCCATCTTTCATTTTGATGGAGACCAATTTACCGGCTTCGTATTTTGCTGCTTGTGGTTTGGGTCTTAGTCAAAATGGCTTCGCCTGGCACAAGGTCATTACAACTTAGGGTTTGATTGGTTTTCTACCTAGGAATATCAATAATTCACACTGAGGTCACCAATTCACTTTTAGTTAGTATATAGTATGAGGCAGGGGGTCAAATCCATTCTTATGATGTGGAAATCCAGGTGTCTTAGCACCATTTGTGGGAAAGACTATTATACATTCCCTCACTAAGTGGCACCCTTACTTTAAAAAAAAGAAAGAAAGAAAAATGGTCCATAAATGTTAATACCATTGAACTGATCTCAATTTAGTGACACACTATATTACATTGAGGTAAAATACACATCTCTAAACGGAGAGCCAATCTATCCCCAAACAAACCTCTTCCAAAAGCTACCATACTCCCTTCTCAACACATACCCAGTTGTTAGAGGCCATCCCTAATGTTCTCCATGAAAGCTGTGCTCAGCACATTCCCACCTGCAGTGCCTGGGAGTTCCCCTTTCCCATCACTACTATATCTTGTCTTTTGCTAACAGCCATGCCAATGAGTTACCACCTGGCTAACTATATTTTGGTGCCCTCTGTCCACAGTATTGGTTTGAATAACTGGTTTCATTTCTTTGAAGTTCACACCTAGGAATGGGGGGCGTCCACGGTGAGCCATTTGAAGAAACCCAGAGCTGGCTCCCTAGAGCAGCTAGCTGCACCATCCCACATCTCCACAACTGATGAGGGTTTAACTTCTCTGTCTCCTCGTCCACGCGATGTCTTCTGTTTTCTGGCCCATTCGGAGACGTTACCTCTGTGCAGTATACCAATCATGCACAGCACTGGGTCTGATAATGTAACACAAGCCCCTCCCCACCCCCTTGGTCCGGATTTCCATTCTGTGCATTCTCTCGTAGTGGCTTTGCTTTCTATGTCCACACTGGGCTTATTACAGTAATTAAAATACCAGCACTGTTGGTATCCGGCCACATCTCCCCGTTCCCTGTGCTTGTGCGGCTGGTCTTTGCACCCATGTCTGGGTCCCATCGAAAGAGCATGCAGCCTTTGACATTTCAGCCGCAGCTGCTATTTCCAGCAAGTTAACCCCACAAAACTCATTTCACCCAAACATTTGATTGGCACAGTAGCCGTGTGTGTGTGTGTGTGTGTGTGTGTGTGTGTGTGTGTGTGTGTGTGTGACACAAAATACACATAATTTATTTCAGCATGACACTAGAAATTTCTATCCACTTGTCACCGGCTTATTACTCATGAACTTTTACAGGTATGACTCAACTAACCACGTTTTCTACCTAATTGTAAGGTCAGTGGCTGTGGGAGCCCGTTCTGGGGTTCCTCGTGGCTTTACCCAGCAGGTCCGAGTAGAGGATGATCAGGACCACGGGCCTGAGTGCAGGTGTCTGAGATGGTCTGCACTTGGCTGTGCTGGGGGAGGAGGTCTTTTGCTCCACCCCTTGGCGTCTCTATAA